CAGTTATCAAAACTGGTTTGCATATCTCAAACCCTTCCTTCTCTACATTATTCTGCCATTTTTACTGAATTCTTTTTTTAGGGTTAGAAGCTTCAAAGACATGCAAAAAACACCAGAAGGCCAAAATGCTGGGTTCCCCAATAGAGTGACAGTTTAACCATTTGCTCTGTAGGAAGAACACTATGGGGGGAACAGTATAGACAGAGAGAAGATGAAGCAGGTAGATCATGCTAAAGAAAAATATAAAGCTTTTCCTAGAACCATAAAGTCGAGAGAGTTAGAAAATGTATTCAAGGTAGGGAGGAGACAGACCTTCTGTGACCTTCCAGACACATAAGTCAGCTGTGTTCCAGAATGTCTGGTGGATGGAAATGTAGACCTTCCTAATACTTAGCAGTGGGCCAGACCTGCCGTGCACAGAGTCTGTTAAGACATTTAGGGCTAGGCTGTCCAATACAGTAACTGCTGCCACAGAGGCACTGAAGTCTTTGAGAGGTGACTTGGCTACAAAGGGCTATGCTGTCAATGTGCAAAGATTTCAAAGACTAAGGCTGAATAATAAAGAAATTCCTTAGCCATTTTTTATTTGAACTATTGCAATGAAAATATTTTGGATGTACTGGGTTAAATAACATATTCTGCTACAATGTGTTTCCTATCTTTGTCTTCCTTTGTAAAAAGTGGCTACTAGGCTATTTTAAATCACATTACGGCTCCCTTTACATTTTTAAGGAAGGGAACAGATGTGAATCTTTGCTGCTCTCACAGGCTTCACAGACTAGACCATGAAATTCCTCCCACACTTATTATCTGGCTGGTAGGTCACAGTGGTAAAGCTTCTGTGAAAATGTCTTTGCTTAGTTGGAAATAGACACCCTAAGAAATAAAGCACTAAATGATCAGCCCTTGACTCCCAGAAGGCTCGAGGATTTAACAGTGGCTCCAACAGCACAAAAGCACATTTCTTTACACAAGGTGATAAGAGATCCTCCTGTATAATAGCAAGACCAGGGAAAATTCCTATGCCATGTCTTCTCATTTCAAAAGGAACCAGGGATTGATTATGCCTGCAGATCTTTAAAAACACCTTTGTGTGTGTGTGTGTTCCAGTCTGGTTAAGAGCACAGAGAATTCCTTTCGTAGTGAAGGAGTATGTGCGAAGAAATTTGGTACTCTGGTCACTTGTCCTCTGACCCTATCAGAGCACTATAGATGCAAACGAGCTCTGAAGGACATGTCTAGAAAATGGAAAGAAGAAATCAGGCTGGCAGCCTGTCAAGGTAACATTGTGATCAAAATATTCACAACATTTTCTCCTTGAAGCATTTAAACTAAAGTTTGCACTAAGCCACTGGTGAGAATTAACCTACAGGTCTGAAAATATCAAGGGAAAAGTGAATAATGACTACGTATTTCCCAGTATAAAAATTCCAGGGACTTTTCAAGTTGTTTCCAACTCTTAAGTAAATTTTTACATCTTTTTTTTTTCTCATTCAATTTGGAAGATTGAGAAGTCAAAGGAGAAAAGGGGGAAAGAAAGGAACAAAAATGCCTTTAAAGAACCCTCTTGCAGTCCTCAGCAAGGCATCTATATGTAGAAAGGCTGTTTCTGAGGTTAGAGTGGACCCCTGCAGTGTCAGGATGGGACAGAAACATGCCTTATTCCCCAGAAAGTTCATTTCCATCATTAAACCTAGACAAAAGCTGCCTGCGTCTAGTACCTCCCAGACAATTATTTAGCCAGTGAAGTGTCATCTTGTTTTATATTTTTCCATTTCTCAATGACACTGCCCAGAGATGAAGATGAAGAATTCTAGCAGCTGGCCATACTCTGCTCTAAAATATGTTTTTTCTATTAGATTTGCCCATCAATTTGCTTCCCAGTGGGATGAATCTTTTTTCTTTTTTGTTGAAGAGGAAATACCAGTTATTTATAGTAACTGAAGGAAATAATGAACGGTTGCAAAAGCCACTGAATAGCACACCACCAAGTAAACAGATTTATAAACAGTCACTTTCGACAACAGTGGGGTGAGATGCTCAGGCAGGCTGGGTCATCAAGCTAGGTCAGGTCAGCTCAGGAAAACTTCTAGGCTGTTGGCTCAACTGTCTGAGCAGGAACAAATTTCAATCAAGAGTTCACAAAGTGTTGCAGCAGATGACAGCGGTCATTTTAGGTCTTTATTCTCAGCAGTCCTATCATCCGGTCACAGAGCTGTGCCAGGTGGCTGGTTAGATGCGATTTCTTTTGCTTACTTTTTTTATTTGTCTGTCGTGGGGCCTGAACTCTGGGCCTGGGCCCTGTCCCTCAACTCTTCAGCTCAAGGCTAGCGCTCTACTACTTGATCTACAGTGCTACTTCTGGCTTTTTCTGCTTATGTGGTACTGAGGAATCGAACCCAGGGCCATATGCATGCAAGGCAAGCACTCTACTACTGAGCTACCTTCCCAGCCCTTTTGCTTGCTTTAAACCAAGGGTGTTGGTTTAAAGAAACTGGGTTTTTAAATGCACTGTCAACCTTTTCCGATTATTTCATTTGGTCTCTTTCTTCCTCTTGGTTGTAGAGTTGTGAAGGATAAGGTATACAGCAGGGACAAATACCACTTTTTCTATGCTATCTGTCATCTTCTAAAGATGCAAACAAAAGGGTGAAAGCTCTCATGCTCCACTTTTGTCTTTAAAACAGGGTCTTGCTATGTAGTCCAGGCTATCCTGGAACTCATGATCCTCCTGGTTCAGCTTCCCAGTTGCTGGGATGACAGACTCACAGTACTACACCTAGCTCTCTTTGATTCTACAGAAGGCCAAATATGAAGTGAGACCATTAAAAATAAAATCCAACAATTGAAAAAAATTCATTTTTTGATTTATAAATCCAGAACAGAACATGCCAAAAAAGCTCATTAGGTGTAAGTTACAATGACCTGCTTGCTGACTTAGTTCAGTTCTGGGGTAACATTAGGTAAGAGTCATCATCATCAGAAGATGATGATGAGGATGAAAAAGGAGAAAGAAAGACAGAAGAGAAGAGAAAGGAAAAGAAGGCTACACAGACAGAGATATAACCAAAACTGAAGATAATCCCACTTAGTCACAGCCCTCTGTTTCCAGGGACACTGTGAAATTTCTGAAGCCTAAGCAGGCTTGACTATTACATTAAAGTTTTTAGCTTTTAAACTTCAATGATTTAAAAAAGTCACGTCTCACCTGGGCATAAGTAGCTCACATCTATAATCCTTCTTAGGACACTGAAGCCTGAGGATTGTAGTTTGAAGCCAGCCAGAGAATTAAAGTCTGTAAGACCCCTTCTGGTCCAATTAAAAGCTAGACTGAGGGCTGGCTCAAGTGGTAGAGCAACAACCATGGGTAGAAAAGCCAAGTAAGATTGAGAGGCGCTGAGTTCAAGCCCTGGCACTGGCACACAGATAAAAGTTATGTTTCTCATAAAATTCTGACACAGAATTGTAGAAATGGTATGTTTTTAGAATTTACAGTTCATTTTCATACCGGAGGTGGAGGGCTGTTTGTTAGCTATGACTGCATTGTGTCATTATTGAACAGGTGCTTGTTATTGGCATAGACAACAGTGACGTGGAAGATGAGGACTGAAGACCTAAACTTTGACAACCCTGCTCATCTCTCTAGTACATTTCCAATAAAACCCTTCAACCAGAGTGGAATTCTGCACATTCTCTTTGTGTAGCCCCTCCAGATGGCTATGTGTCTCTTCCCACAGACTGAAAGCAGGGGTTGAATAGGTCTTGTTCTCACTATCTCTCACGACCTCCCAAAGATTCACTGCTCTCTAATTTCTGCCCTGTGCTCCTACCTTTCTTCCAGGCACAATCTCTACACAGCAACCTTAGCGATTACAGTGTAAGCCAGCTAACCACACATCAGCTTGAAACCTTTTTTTCTTCTTTTAAGTCTCTACTCATATCACACATTCACCTAAATACATTACTTAACTGTACTTCCAATCTCGCAACCCACTATCACTTCAGACATTTACTAATTGTAATTTTCCTTATTAAGTAATAAACTCCATGATTTTTTTCCTGTTGTGTTCACTATTACATCCTCAGTACCTGAAGAATGATTTGGTACACAGGAAATATTAAAAAATATCTGACCTGATTTATGGAACTGAAACCCCTTCATATAGCTATATAAAATAAAATATCTGAATAATGAATAAATGGGTTCCTTCGTTTTGGTCCCTAACATAACACTGATGCCCAGTCAATGCCTGGTGCCTGAGCTAGACCAAGTTAGGCTGAATACATATCCTTTTTCAGGAGCAAGTACACAACCACACAACCCTACCCTCATCATTGCTACAAAATGAAGGAAGGGGCATGTTCTTAAAACCTCACATTGGTTAAGAGCCCAGGACCGACTCACTGTAAAATTCATTAGCTTCAGTGAATTTGGCATTAATTTTTATAATGTGAGTCTCCTTAATTCCACCTTTCTCTAATAAGAAAACAGTCTGGGGCAGATTTTTTTCTTTTGAGTACTAATATAGATATGACTCATACACATAAATAGATCCAGAAAAGGTATAGAAGACAGATGGTATTTGCATATGGCTGCTTATTTATATATATACAGATATATGCAGGCATGATGGAAAAGTCCTCCATGAAATGCCAACTGTTGCTTAATGACTGCCCTGATCAAAACCTAGGAGCATATTATCCTCTAAGTGACTTTCCTATATTTTTCATGAAGAAATAAAATATTTACAGGATGCTGTCTCAGTTTTCGTTACTATTACAGTCATAATAGAATGCTGCCATGGCTGATACAGCTACCCTCCTTCAAATAATCGGAATCTAAAGATTTACATTTATATTTGCTTATTATCACATACTTCATTTTATTTTTCAGAATGGCCTATTTGCACTTCAGAACTGACAATTCAAAAAAACGTGTTAAATGTCAAAAGAGACAATAACCCATAATTCCTGTGTTTGGTGCAATCCAAGTCACTTACCAGGCATGATAATATTAGAAAATCCCAACTTTCTTGTTATGGACACTCCATGAGAAAAGACTGAGGAGTATTCTCTTCTGATTTGTTCAATATCTCCATGTAATAGCTGCAGGGAAACTGCCAAACCTAAACAAAGAACAGAGATCAAGTTCACTCAGAAGCATAGAAACAACATAAATAGGAATGGAAATCCTTCAACCAGCCTGAATTTATGGTATCAGCTTTAAACCAAGGATTAACATTCACATGACCTCAACCAGGTGCTAGTGGCTCAGGATTGTAATTTTAGCTACTCATATAAACAATATATGCATACATAAATATATGAATACATACACATATATTAACACACCAACTGAATAAAAATTATATGAATAATATCTAGAAAATATCTAGATACATGTTCAACACCTGCATCTGAGATTTTTCAGTAGAAAACCTGAGTAGGATGCTAAGAGAAACAAGGCTGGCTCCCAGTCCCGCATCTCCTCTGGCCCTGGTCAAGTGAAATACAGTTTTGTGCCAACATTTATTCTAGCAACAGATGACAGGTAATGAGATCAAAATGAGAGCTTTAACTTTTTCCCCAAATCTATAAGGCCTATGAATAATGACTTATCAGATACCAGAAGCCTAAACATAAATCTTAAGACCTAACAATTCAAGGATTTTAAGATTATTGATGGAGATTTTTCTTCATTTTAAGTTGCTGAGGTGATTATATACAATCAAAATTACATTCTTTATATGACACAGAGTAGAAAATCAGGAAGACATTATTTTCTCAGAACTTACCAGGGCACAGTGTACTTTCACAAACAAAAGGGAATTTGTTACTATAGCAGTAATATTATCTTCTTTTCCTTTTTACCCCAATTATAATGACATTATCACAGTGGGGCATATAGAGAATGAATGACAGTCTTTCACATATAATTTCCCCATTCTTAAGCAAGGACTACAAAAAAAGAAATTAATGCCACATCTGGGTGAATAAGTTTCTATGTATATATTTCAAATATATCTCTTTCAGCTTCTTTCTTCCTCTTTAAAATTGTATTGCTTTGAAACAAGAAAGACAAAAATAGTATATTTCAAATATGCTATTTCTCCTTCAGCTTTTGAAACCTTTCTTCATCTTTAAAATTGTATTGCTTAAGGGTGAACTAATTCAGCAGTGATACTTACTAGACACTATATTGAAAATGAACCGTACAACTTCTGGGGGAAGGGGTGGGGAGGGAAAAAACTGGGAGAAACCAAAGGAAGAGGTAATACTATTCAAAAAGAAATGCATTCAATATCTGACTTATGTAACTGTGACCCCTCCGTACATCACCTTTACAGTACATTTTTAAAACTAAAATGAATATAAAAATATTGCTTTAAAACAAGAAAGACAAAAAGGTCTCTTCTCTACCAACTTGTCAAAGGTAACTTATTTTGAAGAACTTTGTTACTGACCACAACTCAATTTAAAAGTGGATTTGGATAGTGGACCAAAACAATGATAAATCTGTGGTCCTCTATAATCTTTAATGTCCATCATCACTTATTAACACTTTTCCCTCAATCAAGTACATGTTTTGCACAAGTTGTCACTCCCATCAATTTACAGTACAACAGTGTGCTTCAAAAGCAAAGGCATAGGTATGATTGATTACAATCTCCTTGTAATGAAAAAGCAATGGAAAACTTTTTCATACACACCTATATTAGGATATCCCTGTAACCTTCCTTTAATGCTACCAGCAAACAACAAAATAAAAGCAGTGTTCCATTGGATTGCTTGCTTGCTTTTCAAGAGGCAATTAAAAAAAAAAGGAAAGGAGGAATACTTGACCTCAGCTTTCCAATTTGAGAATTAAGTCAGTCAGTCAGGTAGGAATTCCAAACAACAAATCTATATCCTATTTTTACTTCCCATCCTTATTCCCATCACTATGACTTGAGTTTACTAAAGGCAATAGTACACAGGAATGTCTGTCCTTACACAGCCATGGACAATGAAGTAGGAGAAAATAAGCCCTCTGGAAGATTTGGTAGAGGTAACTCTCAGAGCAGTGTTGTAACATTTTGCTCAGCACTACCAATTTTTTATGAAACCCAGGGGCTGGGTCACACAGAGAAACTAAGATGTGTTGAAATCCATCTGTCTCAGCAGCTATTTCTCTCTGACTCATGCTTGCCCACTAACTCCAATTGATCAGTGCTGCTTCTCTTCTTCCACTTTCGTCCTTTTGCCTTGAAAATCCTTAATCTGTGCTATCAACACCATCATCAGGGGTTGGTATATATAAAATACCAGCCTGTGCCAGACCCAGAATCGAGTACCAGTTCCTCTTCAAGCAGAGATTACTGCTCAAAAATCTCAGTGTAGATTACAAGCAGTGCTTTTCAACAGAGAGAAAGATGAATTTAAAACAGTGTTTGAGATCCTGTGATTTTTTTTACAAGTGTCAATCATTTTACTGAGACTTCTCATGAAATGCTATGATCAGATACTTAAACATACATGTGATATACAAAGAAAAAAAATCACCAGCAATGAAGAAACAAAGAGGTCATGCATTTCAGAATAGGGACAGAAACTAGGAAAGCTGCTTAGGATTCTTGCTTAGCTCACTAGAAGCCAGCACATAGTTAGCCAATAGTGACTTATTTAGGAAAAAACAAAACCATAAGATGGGGGCTGGGAAGGTAGCTCAGGGGGAGAGTGCTTGCCTTGCATGCATTAGGCCCTGGGTTCAATTCCTCAGCACCACATAAGCAGAAGAAGCCGGAAGTAGAGCTGTGGCTCAGGTGGTAAAGTGCTCACCTTGAGCTGAAGAGCTGAGAGACAGCGCACATGCCCAGAGTTCAGGCCCCAACAATGGAGAAAAAAATAAACAAACAAACAATCATAAGATGAATTGTTCCCAGAGGCTAAGCCAATGAGAAAAGAAAGACATTTAGTCAGAAACAGTGGGAATCCTGAAGAAAATTAAAGAAGATACAAAAAGGAGAACAAAAAAATGATGTAAGGAAACACTGATATGGAGGGAAACTAATAATGAACAGAGAAAAATGTATCTATGTTCTGTAGACAGACAAAGTGTGGAGAGAAGAGAACGCAAACCAACAGAGATGACCCATTTGAGAGACAGCACATTGAGGCAGCCAGCTGTTGGATAAGGAAAAAGAATGCTGATGTGAAGTGATGAGAGTCTAGACAAAATTGTATGGGGTAAAAGCAAAACACATTTAAGAGTTAGCTACATCTTAAAATTTTGGTAAAAATGTTCAGTTTGAATATTTAGAAAAAAATATAGATTAAAGCCCTGGGTGTACCTACTTTCATTTGTCTAGCCCAATCATCATTGGCATTAGTGAGATAATTGTTACTTAGAGTTGACCTAGTTTCTCCAGAATGAAGAATTCACAGTCAAGAATTGGAAAGACCATGGTGGAGGTGTGGCTCAAGTGTTAGAACATCTGCTTAGTAAGTATGAGGACTTGAGTTTAAATCTAAGTACCACAGGAAACCAAAAACAAAAGAACTGGAAATGCCAATTAGATGGGGGAGGTGTGTTTGGCTGCCATTCAAGTCCTCTGTCAAATAATTTCTTTCCATACAGAAATCACAATAAATAAGTGAAAAACAAAGAATGGGTACTTTCAAGAAGACAAAAGCAAAACAAGACAAAATATAGAGCTGTGGTAAAGTCCTCAAGGACCAGCCTATAAAGAACCATTTGATTTCTATTTATTTCTTTAATCAGGAAAATCCATTATGCTCCATTTATAGTGGTCATTAGGTATAACCGCACTCCAGAGGATGGAAAAATGATCCAGTAAATGTTAAGAAATAACTTATCAAGACCAAGAAACTACTCATCACTAAAGAGGAGAGACTTAGCCAACACCTACATGCTCTTTATCAAAAATGTTGAGCTCCAAGTAGCAAGATGATTGCTACTCCAGTGTTAGATAGGGATTTGTAGGTATGAGGTGGCTAAGAGATTTGGCTAAATCAGTGCAAAATTTCAGTAAGTATGTACTGGGGATCTGTAGTGCAGTGACTATAGTTAATAATAAGGTATTATGTACTTGAAACTTTTTTTGAGACAAGGATTTCCTATATTGCCCAGGCTGGGATCCAACTTAAGAGTCTTTTGCTTTATTTACTTATTTATTTTTGTGGGTTTTGGTGTTTGAACTCAGGACCTGGGTGCTATCCCTGAGCTCTTTTGCTCAAGGCTAGCACTTTAAATCACCACTCCACTTCCAGCTTTTCTGGCAATTAATTGAAGAGGAGAGTCTTACAGTTTTTCTTGCCATGGCTGGCTTTGAACCACAATCCTCAACTTTCAGCCTCCCTGAGTACCTAGGATTACAGGCATGAGTCACCAGCTCCCTGCTGAATCTTCTGCTTTAACTTCTAACTTTTGGGACTATAAATATGCATTACAAGGCCTTTTTGAGACAGAGTCTAAAGGTCTAACTATGAAGTCCAGGCTGGCCTTGAATTCATGATCCTTTTACCTCAGCCTCCCAAGTGCTGCCATTACAGGTGTACCACACATGTTAGGATAGAATTTAAATATTTCACCACAAAATCAAGTATGTGGGATAAGAGAGGACCTTCATTCAGTAGTTTCATAATATATAATATATGCATAAATAAGAACATAACATTGTATGCTATAAAAATACAATTTTAATTGTTAATTACACTTTAATAAAGCCAGAAGAAAAAAAGGTATTTATACATTTTAATGACCTGAAGATGAGCCTTATCTTTTGAGTTGCTATCATTTATGACACACTGTATGTTCACAGAACATCGTCTTTCATTCAACTTCCAGCACTAGGAACTGCCATAAAACTTTCTGGGCTAAGCCATTTCTGCCATTTCTGAGGGTTAGAATAATTTCCAAATTTTTCTGCATTATTTTAATTTAATTAATTAATTTATTTATTTGCTGGTACTGGGGCTTGAACTCAGAACTTGGGTGCTGTCTCTGAGGTTTTGTTTTTCCCTCAGGGTTAGCATTCTACTACTTGAGCCATTGCTCCATTTCTGCCTTTTTGTTGGCTAATTGGATATTAAGAGTCTCACAGCTGGGTGCTGGTGGCTCATGCCT